AAATGGCAATTTTAAGGGGCTATAAAAAAACTTTGTTTTATGCAGGCTGGACCGCATTCGTACAGTATACGGTCGAGAGGTATAGAGCATCTTGGATGCAAATAGGTGGTCTATCGAAAAACAATTGTAACTAACCATTTAATTATTTTTTTAATATAATTATTATTTTTATTTTTAAAAATTTATTTATTTTTTTTATTATATAAAAATCCATCTCAAAAATAAATTTATTAAAAAGCCCACATTCTTATACTAACCGCGTCCAAATGGTAATTAAAAAAGATATAAAAACTTTCTCTCTCTAAAAAATACAATCTCTCTCTATAAAAGAGTAAGGAAACCCGCCCAAATTAAACTCTACAGTGGAGTAAAAATGGCACTTTTTCTCTCGAAAATTGAGCAGATAACCTTCTGTCTCTCTCTAAAAAAAGAATCGAAATTAAGTTTTATCTCTCTAGAGAAAGAAAGGTAAATTGATAACGAAGACTAGAAGAATTTTTTTGTTTGAAAATAGGAAAAATAAGAACAGAAGAATTTTTTAGTTTGAAATTACAAGCGCAAAAGTCGGGACGCGGGCCGGCGTCCGTATCGGGATATCGGCAGCATGGTGACACGTGTCAAAGTTATTTGACTGGATAGCCACGTTCGATTATCTGACGTGGTGGGCGTCCGCCTAGTTTACCGAGCGCGAAGTCCGCCGAAACGTGAAAGTAACGGCCGTTATATTGGGAGTGGGCCCAATGTCTTATTAATTAGGCTCTTGATTGTGAAAAGAAAGTTTACATAAAGAGGCTACCTTATCATATAGAACTACGGATGCTCCTTACGGATCCATCGGAAAAAGGTGTTTTAATGTTGAAAACCTATTTGATTGATCATCTCGACATCGAGACGTATGATTATAAAAAATAAAAAGATTTTAAGTTTCAAAAATAATACATTTTGTAACATGTTATTTACACCATCCATTTTCAAGATTTTCATATGTTTATATATCTACTTGATGTTAACTATTTTTTAAATTTAAAATTTTATAATTAGATATAAAAATAGAATTTGAGATAATCCTAATAATATTTTACATCAAAATTATATACCATAATAAAATTTGAAGGGCACCATACCTCTATACTTATGGAGGCGTCCGTATGCCAACTACACCCTTGTGAAAAAGTTAAGTATAGAAGGAGACCTTTTACATTTTGTACAAGAGATATTAATCTTGACCATTTTATGTGAAATTGAGTAGCTACAATTATTCTATTGACCAAACTTCAACTTCAAAAAACATTTTTTCGAACTTTGTGACACATCCTTTTCGATGATTTTCCGATCTAGATAATATATTGTAAGATATTGTGATGATCAATTTGATATTTTTCTACCATCAAAACAACATTTTCGAAAAGATTTTAGAGATGTACCACCTTATATAAACATCTCCATTTGAAAATATCTGCTATAGTGTTGCTATTTAACGACAGATCCTCCCAAAGTCGATTTCACAATATACTAATTCCAGGAGTGGCATCTCCAAAGACGCCCATTTTTAGGGAACAAAACAGGCTTAAGTTAACATACATTTCTTAATTTTATAGAATGGGATTAGGACAACCCACTTTCGTTTTTCTTTTCCTGCCCTTATTAAAACTTTGGGGTTAAAAACAAGTCGAGATAGGCAAAACTTCTGTTATTTGCATAAATAGACATTATAAAATTGTCCCCTTTACCTATGGCATATATGATAGGGGCATATGAGTGATTAGGGTACAGACTTATTGATGAAGATGAATTTTATTCCTACACTTTGAATTGATGGATGCTAATTTTATGAGCATTGTGTCTAATAGGAAACAACATAGACAACCTTTCAAGGCCGGGATGCATACAAGCAAGTACAAACTTGATTACATTCACTCAGATGTATAGGGCCCTTCACTAACTGCATCTTATGGCGGTACATTATATTTTGTTTCATTTGTTGATGATTTCTCAAGAGAGGTATGGATCAAAACTCTGAAGTCCAAAAATTATGTGTTTTGTGCATCCAAGAATTTTAAAGCCGGAGTTGAAAAATCTACGAGTCATCACATTAAAGTTCTTCGGATCGATAATAGTGGAGAGTTTATATCAAAGGAGTTCGAAAATTTTTGTAAGGCCGAGGGAATTACTAGGGTATTACACAAATGCCTACAATACTCAAAAAAATGGTGTGGCCGAAAGGATGAATCACACTTTGATGGAGCGTACGAGATGCATATTAAGCAATACCGGCCTAGAACAAGAATTATGAGCGGAAGTCATATCAATGGCTTGTTATCTTATCAACCGATCACCTTCGATAGCATTGGGAAGTAAAACTCTTAATGAGGTGTGGTATGGAACTCCAAGTAACTACTTCTACTTAAAAAATTTTAGTTGTGATGTATATACACTTATTCCAAGTTGCCAAAAGAACAAATTGAATCCAATGTCAAAGAAGTGCATTTTTGTAGGTTATAGCTAAGGTATAAATGGGTACCGGTTATGGGATCCAAGTACCCTAAATATAATCACTAGTCGTAATGTGTATTTTGATGAATCCAAGATATTGGCAAATGAGATAATGATAAATGGCAATGGTCAAGAGGTGCAACAAGAGAGCCAAGAATTTCAAGGCAACCCCGAAACACTTCCACCAAGTGCAACTATACCTTATGAGAATCTACACATTGATCATGGTGAAGAACAATAAGAACTAGGAAGTCAAAATGAACCACATGGCCATCATGATGAAGTTGTGCTTTTGGCGCATAGACGCTCTACTAGAGAAACTCGAGCACCCAGGTAGCACAAAGATTATGTGGACCCAAATACTTTACATACTTTGATAATCCAAAATGAAGAGCCAACATCATTCAGTGAAGCCATTGATAGCAATGGTACCGAGCATTGGAAAGTAGTTATGGAAGAAGAGATATTGGCCCTTCAAAGAAACAAGAATTGGAATTTGGTGCAGCTACTAAAAGGTAAAAAAGCCGTTGGTTGTAAATGGGTGTTCAAGATAAGAAAGGACTTGATGCAAGCTTGAAAGATATAGGGCAACATTGATGGCAAAAGGTTTTTCGTAAAATGAAGGAATTGACTTTGATGAGATTTTTGCATTAGTTGTCAAGTTGGTCTCAATTCGCTTGGTGCTTGCTTTAGTTATTATGCATGATTTAGAGTTTGAGCAAATGGATGTGAAGACGACTTTTTTGTATGGAAAACTTGAAAAGGAAGTGTACATGCAACAACCAAAAGGCTTCATAGAGAATGGCAAAGAAGGATTTATGTGCAAATTGAAGAAGTCCTTGCATGGGTTCAACCAAGCATCAAGACAATGGTATAGAACATTTGATATGTTCATGATGAGCCTTGGGTACACAAGAAGTAAGTATGCTCATTGCATTTATTTAAAGTTCTTTGATGATGGTATATACTTGATTTCAGTTTTATATGTGGATGATATGCTTTTGGTGTGCAAAGATAAGGTAAAAAATTAATGAGCTTAAGACTCCTTTGAGCAAAAGACTTGAGATGAAGGATCTCGGGCCGGCAAGGCAAATCCTTGGGATTGAAATTGAAAGGGATAGATAAAATAGAA